AAACATATTATCTGAAATTTAAGAGTTGCGAAAAAACTATTGATTATATTATAGAACAAACACATATACAGGATATCCCAGAATAAGTGCTGGTATTGTAAATGGTAGTAGGTCGACAGAAACGCTCCCATGAGGTTTTTTTGCGAAAAATAATGCTGAAAATTATATATGTTTTTTACATTTTCCAGAAAATATTGCAAAACTTTTGAGGTTCGAGAGAATGCAATGCAAAAATTCAAATAAAATTAATAATATAGATTTCATTTTTGTCTCATACTAACATACCAAAGCTCTTTTTTATACCGGGTGCGTCTCAAAAGTGTGGCTCACCCCTATAACTTTTTTAATTTTTCAGATAAAAAAAACGAGATTTGATATGTTAGTATATGACATAAATTAGGATTGATTGATGTATTCAATTGTTTTCGGTCACTTCCTGTTTCACTGGAAATGACTACAACTTTCGATTTTTAAATGGCAACCACGGTATTTTTTTACTTTACTGGATAGAAAAGGACACTCTGAATCAAATGACTTATCATATGTCAACTTCGACATATTCGCTCAAAAACAAATTGTATTTTAAATTTCAATCTAGAGTGCCATGGCTGTGTTAAAAACATTAATTTTTAATCAAGGAAGCTTGGAAAAATAGATTTGATCGTCTAATGTTCTTAGTGTTAAAAGATGCCCAAATCGTATTTTTAATCATATCTCAATTTTTTCAAATGGAACGAGGGAGGCTCATTAACATATTTGGAAAAAGCATTTTTTTGCGAATAATTTGATACCACACACTTGGTATTTCAAGTTAAATTTTCGTTATGAACCGGATGTTATAATTTCAAATAAACCATATGCCAAAATGTCAAAAGTTGGCATCTGATATGTCATTTTATTCAAAGTGTCATTTTCTATCGAATAAAGTAAAAAAATACCGAGGATGCCTTTTAAAAATCAATAGTTTTAGTCATTCCGGTGAAACCGGAAGTGACCGAAAACAATTGAATATATCAATCACTCCTGATTTATGTCATGTACTAATACTAACATACCAAATCTCGTTGTTTTATCTGAAAAAAATAAAAAAGTTATAGGGGCGAGCCACTTTTGAGACGCATCCAGTATATTATATTCACAAATAGAAAAAAAATTGATCTGAAAATTAAAACAACATAAAATAATCGAGATATTAGAAGTACCTACACCTACTACCGATTACAAGAAAATAATAATTAGTAACTAATTATAAGTAGGTAACTACTGAATAAACAATATATTAGAATGGGATGAACATGCAACAATGCAAAAAAAGCATATGTGAAAGGTAATAAAAATATGACTTTGCTTTTAGATAAAACTGATATCAAATTGTATCGATTATAAATAAGGAAATATTATTGGAACTGCAACTCATTGTACCTATTTAAAATTAACTTTGAACTACGTTAAAAATAATAACTCATTGTTGTTTTTTCTTAGTGTAATATTCGTTATGCTGAAAGCTATCGTTGATTCAAGATACGCAGATATGAAAATCCAAGAAGCGTTTAAAACAAATTGGAAACGTTATTCAAAATGATATAACCGGTTGTATTTCAGAACACGCCACAGAAATTAAAGAATCCGAAAAAAAAAGAGCACGTTATTTTATTCGGTGCAAGAAGACGAAACAACAGATATTACAGAAAAGTCTAAATGTTTTTAACCCAGAGACAACATATATTTACGAACTGGGTTAGGGTACTATGTAAATTTAGGAGGGGGGGGGGGCAAATAGACGCAACTAAAATTTTGTCGCCTACCCAGTGACACGGGTCACGAGGCGCCACTGAATGGCAGTAGATAAGTCAGTAGATAATCGCAGGTGGATGACACTTCTTATGGGAGAACCGGCAATGGTTGAAAACTTGACTACAAGCGATTTTCTAGGAATCTTCCTTACCGATAAATTATTGACAAGAGTGACAGATAAAGCCTTGACGTTCTTTCAGTATTCCAGTTCATCTCTTTTTCTTTCTAAAGTGTGCGTTGAAAGGAGACAAAAACAATTTTTTGTGACCCATAATTTGTTATTCGAACACCACTTTTCTTCTTGTCGGGTCGTTGACGTTGACTTGTCCCCATTTCTCTTTTCTTTTGTTTACAAGCTGCAGTTTGCTTTGCAAATTTAATACATAAATTATTTAGGCAAATATAGGTTTTTGATAAAACTCCTCGGACTAACGTGTAGGTAAGTGTTGATAATTTTTTTTTCATCTTAACATGCTCATTGTCGTTCTCCTGATTTTAGGTGACAGAAAAGGATCATCAAATCAAATTGAATTTTATATTTTCCTTCCTATTTATCCTTCCTAAATATCAACGAGATGAGCCATCGGAAGAAAGGGACCATAGTACAAAACAGAAAGGTGATCTTCCACTTCGGATATTGAAATTATTATATACTGTAGTCATGTTCGGCATTATGCTCTGAGAAATATAGATAAACAAAGAACAACAGATATAAAGCATCCCAGAGGAAAAGAGAGGCAATACCTGTATGTACTCTCTCTGATATTTGTGAAAGTTACAGCAAAGTATTGTTGTAAATGTCATCTTTTTGATCGACCTGAAAACTTCGAGCAAAAGCATGACACTTTCAACAATACCCTGACAGATATCAGAGACGATACAGGTTTTTCCTCTCTTTTCCCCTGGAATACTTTTAATTTATTATTCTTTGTTTATCTAGATTTCTCAGAGCACTATGAACGAACTCAGCTTGTATGTTTGATATAATCGTCCAGTTCTCCAGTTGGCTTAAAAATGATGATCGAAGACATTTCCCATATAATTTTACTTTCAAAATTATGATATATCTTTTATTTCTAAGCCATCTATGACGCCATTTTTTTCAGTTTTGTTATAATTAATTTTGTCTCTTGATCTACTTGTAACATTATTCTTTCAATTTTATTAATTTATTGTGGTGAAATTAATTTCTGTTGTATATTTGATATTGATATTAAACATATTTTTAAAAAATGGTGTATTTTTTTGTTTGTCATAATTAAAAATAAATGAAGAAATAAAAATTTTTATTTTTTTAAACTTCCCGCCATGCGTGACAATTTAGTCCGTAGTTCCTACAAGCGAAATTGGGGGCGCTAGTAGCAGTAGACTTGTCAACAGTGTCAAATTTAATCGTCAATTTCACTTTCCAATATTTAGCAAGGCGCTCGCACTTCTTCTTGTGTATGTGTTTTGTGGATAATCGTCAGCGAGTAATGGCAGTAGACAGTAGATAACGCAGCAACAAGCAAAATTGCGTTATTTCTCCATAGTGGTAGGTAGTGCAGAAGTTTCAGAATTGTAAAGAATTTTTAATATAAAAATGGTCCCCTTATTAAATTCTGATAAAAAGTAGTCGAGCTTGTAATAGTTATAGTATTGAGAGATTTTTTACCGTTTTTAGAGTTCTTAAGATTAATTCAGAACCTCGCAATTAGTGAAATAAATTAGTGGTTCCAATTGGCGTAGAAGTTAGTTCCTTTAATTTCAATGTAAGCATTCAGAACTTCAAAATTAGGGGTAAACATTTTCAATTAGTTGAAAAAGTTATCAAACTTTTAACTTTTCCACATTATACTTCAAAATTTGCGAGAAATGTCATTTTGGCCTTTGATTATATTCCGTCAAGAGAAATTATGGTTAGAAATCAAAAGTTGACTGTTTTATAAGCCAAATATTAGGCTTTCTCTGTGGATACAACTACGGTTGCCACCTTTTTTGCAAAGTGAAAAAAGGACATTGGACTATGAGAAAAGACCAAGGGGGGGGGTTAATTATAAATCGCTACTTTAAAATTTTGAAAAACTAATTTTAAGATCGAATTGGTTAATAATAAATCGTAAACTATCATTTGAGATTAAACGGGGAGTTCTAAATATTGTTGCCGATTCTAAACAATAGTACACTGTTTTATTATGAGTAAAAATGATACATTTTGTGGCGAAGCTGACGACATACGGGCGAACAAATAAAGTAATTTTTACTCCGAATAGAACATGATATTTTTTTTCAAACATCACATATAATTTTTAAACAACTTCAAACGTTGAAAATAACATAAAAATATTTAAAAGTAATACACTTTATGTCAGTTTAATAATATACTTTCGTACTTGCGTAAAAATGCTTTACTTTTATGCCTATAGGCGTTAAAAGAACTTTTTTATATTGCAATCGACGGTTCAAAAATTAATACTTTTCTGATTTTTGAAAAAAAAAAAACATTTAATAAGTTTTATAACATGGCTAATTAAATTTGAACGAAAGAATTATTACTGGTTGCTATAGATAATTTTCTCAGGGAAAATGCGTAAATAAAAAGGACATTTTAGGATAAATAAAGTCAAAAGGGCAATTTGTTCCAAAAAAGGACAGGTGGCAACCCCAGATACAACTGACTAACGCAAGCTGTTGCTATGATATTCTATTAATTTTAATTGTATTTTTTAAACATTGTGAATTGTGAATGATCGTAAACTAAAAAGTATAAAGTGTAATTTAAACCGCTAATTTATTCCACTAATTGCGAGGTTCTGAATGCAGCTATATATACTCTCACTATGCGATGGTGTTGCCAATAATATATTATGACATCTTGACACAATAGCGCTACGCCTTCTTTAGTGACGTCATACTTCAGCCTTAAGCCTTAACAGTCGCACCTGGAAGTGGGGGGTCAGGCGATGACCCCAATTACCTTTTTTAACACTACTTACCTATTTTTACATTCTTTTCAAATATCCTTTAGGACATTTATTTTACATATTTTTTCAATCCCTAGACATACAATTTGTTGGAATTTGCTAAGAGTTTGACCTTCGCCGGACGTTTTTATAACGCATAGTATGTCCGCGCGTGCGCGACGCGCCTAATAATAACGATATGGATGTGTCTGGCAACTTTTTACCAGTATCATCTCAGTTGTTGCAGAAATGAGTGTTAGTCTAGTGTTGATTTTTTATATTCTAAAAGATTCAATTACATTTGGATATGAGTGGAAGATATTTGACTGATCGCGAACTGGAAGAAGCTCTTTATGAGGATGACGATGATTTGTGTAGGGATTACATAGACCGAGATTTGGAAAGCTCAGACGAAGAATCCGAAGTCGACCAAGGTGAACAAGAACATCAGGATCGCTTTTTTGAAGAAACAGAAAATGAGTCATCTTGTAAGTAACTAAATAGATGGTTTCAAAAAACCATAAAAGAATGCTATATTCATGGCAAATACTTGATAGGGGTTGTTATATCCTAAATGTTTTTGTACTCTTTTAGCTCCAAATTCTCAGTTAGAGCAGCACGAATCTGAAGAAACCATGGATGAGGATTCAGCCGAAGAAAGTAGTGATACGGAGGGAAATAATGATGGTTGGTACATTTATTCTCAAAATGGTTTAGTAGTACTTTTGATTGTTTTTCTAGACACTATAGCAAGACGTCGTCCACGACCTAAAGGTATAATAGATCAAACCAGTTCTGACATGGTTTCTGTATCAGGTCTGACATGGAAACCTAAACCCATTACTCGACGAAGGCAAATAGCTGCCAATCTAATGAGAGAAGCACCAGGTCTAAAAAACGGAATAAATCCTAAGCTGCCGATTGAAGCGTTCCGGCTCTTTTTCGATGATGATATCATTGATTTTATTTTGCAATATACGAATGAGAAACTCGCCCTTGTAAAAGAAAGCACTCCGCAATCTGCTTTCATACAAAAATCAAGAAGTTTTGAAAAAGATGAAATATTAGGATACATGGGATTTTTGATAACAGCAGGTGCTTACAAGCAAAATAAAGATCCACTTATCGACTTATTCAGTGAAGAGAATTTGCCAATTTACAGGGCTACGTTTTCACATTCTCGTGTCCAACTACTACAAAAATGTATGAGGTTTGATGATCAAGCTACTCGAGGTATTCGTAAAGAATATGACAACCTTGCTGCAGCAAGAGATATTTGGGAGCGAGTCACAAGCAAATTTCCAGACTTTTTGGCTCCTTCAGAGTCAGTTGTAATAGACGAGGAGCTTATAACCTTTCATGGAAGATGCAAATTTCGTTTATATACTCCTACCAAACCTGGTAAATACGGAATTGAAGCTAATGTGCTGTGTGATTCAGAAAATTACTATTGTTTTGCTGCAGAACCATACGCTGGAAAAGTAATAAATCAGCCCAAAGATTACAATAGTGGTCCGGCAGTTGTAAAACGTCTTGTAGCATTAGCAAAATTGCATAACAGTGGTCGCAACATCACAATGGACAGAAAATTTACATCTCTCCCAACAGCAAATGCTTTTTTAGATCAAAATCTTACTGTCGTGGGAACGATAATGAGTAACAGAAAAGACGTCCCACCAGAACTAAGACCACAATCTTTGAAGGATGCAACACCTGGCACAATTCGCTTTGCTTTTCGCGACCGGGAAATACTTGTAAGTTATGTGCCAAAAAAGAAGAAGGTCGTCACTGTGCTATCTACACAACATCACAACATGCAAGTGCAAAATGACAAGCCAGAAATTATTTTGTACTAAACTCCACCAAAGCCGGCGTCAATACGCTTGATAAATGTGTAAGAGGATATAGTTGTCGGCGTGGCACAAGAAGATGGCCGATGGCGGTTTTTTTTAATTTGATCGATATAGTTAGTTATAACTCCTATATTCTTTTCATAAAAGCTAACGAGAACTGGGCAAGAGAAAATCCAAAACAAAAATCAGGAAGAAAAGTTTTTTTAAAATGCTTAGGCAAGGAGTTGTGCCAAATAAATATGAGTAATCGATCAAAGAAAAGGGGACTCAAAATGTTCGTCGTGAATCAATAGGACCAGCTACTCGATCCGCTGTGCAAAATATTCCCAAAAAAGGAAGATGTTTTGTTTGTCCAAGGTCGGCCGATAGAAAATATATGAAGGCATGTTCTAATTGCCAAAAGTATATTTGCCCTAGGCATACAGCCAGCGAGCAAATTACCACAATAAGAAATTGCACAAATTGTAATGTTTAGGTATTTTACACTTTTATATACGATTTGAATACTGTTTCGTTAAATTTAATAAAAAATAAATGTTTATTTAATTTAAATTAGTTTTAATTAAAATCCTTGGGTTCTCTAAACTTTTTTTCGTTAAAAACTTATCCAACTTTTAAGAAAACGTGGGGTCAGTCGCTAACCCCCGTTCCGATTTTAAGAAAACCTGGGGTTAGTCGCTAACCCCCCTGTTCCACATTTTCCGGGTACCCAGTTCTGGTCCTAGTGCGACTGTTAAGGCCCACAGAATATCTAGCTATTATATCTAATAATATCTAGCTATATGAATATACGCAGATATTCTGTGCTTAAGGCCTCTTTTCTCGAGGGCGACTACTTGTTCTATTCTTGAGTTGAGTCACTCCGTATAACAGTGAAATTCATGAAAAAGACAATCTGAATATATTTTAAAACATTTGCATGCATGCGTGCATTATGATAATCCTATAAAATACCAACATATCCATAAAATTTATTAGGAAATCTTAATCGTGTTTCGTCGAACTGATAAAATCGCGTAATGTAATTCCATAGTAAATATTTTATATAACCTTTTTTATCTAATACGCTGGCCCCGTCTCGTAATACTGAAAAATCTAACGTTGTTTATAGGAAATTGTTGTTGTCATTTTTGACGTAAACCGCATTCATTAATAAAAATTACGTGCTGATACGGTTTTTATGGAATGTTTTATATTTATAGATATTTTTACGCAATATTTGTGTATCTTGGGATATCCACTGGAAGATTTTTTTCATATTAAAAAAAAATGAATATATTGCTAGTGTTATTTGCATTATTAATGAGATATATTATAAAAATAGATTGTTTTTTTATTTGCTATATAGATTACCCTAATTATTGATTAAAAACTTTATTTACTAGTTGTTTATAGAAATAATCATAAACAAGCGTCACGGATGGCAATATAAAAAGAAGTTTGATTTGAATTAGAGAAAACTTGGGTTTTTTTTTACCCAAACGTTTATTTCAAAAATGTCACAAAAGTAATCTCTTTTTATCACCACTCGTTATCTGGGACAGTCTACTTGAAGACTACATAAAGAACCGTACATTTGCCAGGCTATTGCACTGACAACTACTTGTTGCACTAACTTTTTTTCTAATTGTCACTTTAGACATTTTCGCTTACAAAAATCGTATTTTAAATTAATTTCAGAATACCATGGCTATGTTAAAAACACGAATTTTTAATCAGCCTTGGAAAAGTAGATTTCATCCTCTAATATTTTTCGTGTCTTTTTTTTAATCATTTTTTTCAAATGGAACGAGGGTGGCTCATTAGCATATTTGGAAATAGCATTTTTTTACGAATAATTTGGTACCACGCGCTTGGTATTTCGAGTCAAATTGTCGTTATGAACCGCATGTTGCAATTTCAAATAAACCATATGCGAAAATGTTAAAAGTTGACATGATACGTCATTCTACACAGAGTGTCATTTTCTGTCGAATAGCGTAAAAAAATACCGAGGGTGTCATTTAAAAATCAAAAGTTGTAGTCATCTCCGGCGAAAGAGAAGTGACCGAAAACAATCCCTGATTTATGTCATTTACTAATGTAAAGTACCATGATAATAAAGTACCAAATCTCGGTTTTTTAGTTCAAAAAATTAAAAAGTTATAAGGGTGAGTTACTTTTGAAAAACACCCGGTATATTGTTTAGCTTTTAATTGTTTGTAGCTTGTTATTTTTTATACCCCTAAGTAATATGGGTGGTCAACCCCAATTTTTTTTATTTTTTTACGAAAAAATACATACAGAATGTTCAGCCATCGTTCACCATTACGTCATCATTATTTGTCAAATATGAGTTTTAGGGTATGTCTATATATATATTTTTTAATTTTGATATTGATCGATGTTCGTCAATAAAATTATAACCCCAAATCAACTGCCAATGAAAATTACTAAAAGAATATGCAGTAATAATAATTTACGAAATGCGTAATGACGTCACCAATATATTTCATATGGTTATCAATTTATTGAGAGACTTCGACAATATATGACGTGACGGTGAACGATGGCTGAACATTCTACAGTATGTCCCCGGATTGTCTTTACGAGAGGAAAAACTTTTTATTATCGACATTTAGAAGAAAATGCATTCTTCATAAAAATTTTTACTTGTCCTAAAATGATTAATCCCGTTTATACTTTTCCAAATCTCAATACCGTTTTAGAGAAAATTTAACAAATCTTGAAAAATCGTTGAATTTTTTCTAAGTCCTAAAAATCAAAAGGCGTTTCTATGGTATAATATAATTTCGATTTCATTCTTTGATAGATGGTTACTTTGAATAAGAAGACTAAGGAAGGAGCATAATGCTATCCATGTATTCATGCATGGTGGGCGGAAAAAGGACTCTTGGATGGGGATCCTTGACAGTTCTGTTTGACGATTCATTTGACACATTTAAATTTGATTTGAAATTTTGTAGATTTGTCTTTACGGAGCTTATTTTATGTTATTTATTATTTATTCTACCACTGATAGTTGTATAAAGGTAGTAAATCTAGATGGAAATTGTGGCAGAACTTAAATTAACAGTGACACTATTGCGATTTATTGAAAAAGACTCTAAAATAGTTAGTTGTGTAGCGTGCGGTAGATCTCGGCAAAAATCGAGTGAAATAATGGAACAACTTTTCGCTAGTAAGTGACTATTTAATATACACATACGTGTAGAAAACCGATCAATTATGAAATTCACTTAATTTAACTAATTATATATTTTTTCTTGCATTTTTGCTTTTATTTACTACTTGTCAAAGATTAGATGTCAAAGAATTTAGATACGTCAATTTGACTTACCTGCTTCAGTAGCGTATCGGATGTTTGTGTTAATAAATAATTATTAAAACTTATCTATTTTTATTATAATAATATGTTTTTATAACAATTTTAATAACTACCAACATTTATTCACAACGTAAAATAATAAAAAAATTATTGAGTCTACCCCATGTCTACCCTACATCATAGTTTTACATTTTTTTAAATAAAATTAGAACGGCACTGATAAACCGGAATTTAAGTCGGCCATATTTGAGTCCCATCGCGGTGGACCTAAGATTTTTGATATGCTGCTTCCTTAGTCTTCTTATTCAAAGGATGGTTATAATTAATTTTGATTAACGTCATATTTATGATGTTATTAAAATATCACATTTTCCGATAATTATTATCATCACCCTTTCCGTAGCATTGAACTAAATAAATTGTATGAAGACATTTTAGAACAGCAAAAATAAGACGTTAATTAAAATTCTGTCAATATCTATCTATCAAAGAATGAAATTGGAATGATATTTACCATAGAAACGCCTTTTGATTTTTAGGACTTAGACTAAAATTCAGCTCTATTTTCATGTTTTTTTAATTTTCTCTAAAACGGTATGGAAATTTGGAAAAGTATAAACGAGATTAACATTTTAGAACAAGCAAAATTTCTTATGAAGAACGAATATTTTTCTCAAAATGTCAATAATAAAAAGATTTTCCTCTTGTAAAGACAATCCGGGAGCATACTGTATACAACCCTAAATTTTCAACCTTCCACCATCAACCTCTATTTTTAGCCGACCATACCAATAGGCACAGAATAACTATTAATTATTCTGTGCCAATAGGTATGCTACCTAGGCTATATATATATTAAGATCGGCAAAAAAAAAGTTTTTTTAATTTCACTCAAAATGAGTTATTTGGGTCATAAATGACCTAAATACAAAATTATTTCATGGTGTCTGTCTGTCTGTCCGTCTCTCTGTCTGTCCGCCTGTAACACGATAACTCAAAAACCGCTAAACCGATTTTAACCAAATTTGGCACAAAAATACTGTGGCACCCAAGAATCTGGCCATTAGTTTTTGGTGGGGGTGGGGGGTTGGTAGGGGGTATGGGAGGGGGTTAAAAATTTTAAAAATTGTAACTCCAAAATTACAGTAGTTAGCGAAACGCGGTTTTCAATTTAAGATTAGGAATAATATTTGCAACAAAATTTGTAATAACATCAAAATCAGTCAATGTCGCAGTTTTTGAGACAAAAAAAATTGGAAAAATTCCTTTACTTTGAAACTAAAAGAACTGCCTACCAACTTTTTATTAACATATTTTAGTATGGGCGGCTATACGTGCCTGCCGGCGCCAATTTTTTAATATGGATATGTATTAGTAATTGAATAATTTTCAACCCCGGTCGATAACTGATCAATTATCACTTGATCGTTATCCGTGCCAGGCGTAATCATAGGAATAATTTATATGGCAAAAACATTTTTGCCGGGTTAGCTAGTTTTATATCGCTAGGTATCTTAGATAAAGAATTTTTTATTATCTCTGATCTCTGATTAGCACTAAGCAGTGTTTAAAATATATGATAACTGACATTCAAAGTAATGCGCCTAAATCTGACACCAGGCCAACGGCCAAATGTTTAATCGATCTTTAGTCAGAGTAACAGTTTGTCGGGCAGGTCTACGTGATCCGTCCATGATCCTATTATTAGAATTGTAAAAACCTGTGTTTAGCATGCAAACAATATAGGTTAAAGTGTCGTAAATACACAAGTTAATAGCGGTAATTTGTTATTTCAAACTAAAATTAGAATAACAATATAAATCATGCATGGATAATTTATATATTATATTTTTTTCTGTCTGTACTCCATAAAAAATAAATTAATGAGATCAAATTATACAGGGTGTCCCAATATTCTGTGGCCATAGAACTACTACGTATTTTTGAAACCAAAATAACTTCATTGGACACAATTTACCAGGGTTGGCAAGATTTAAATCAAGTGATTTTTTTAATTTTAATCATGTGATTTAAATTAAAAAAAAATTTTTTGAAACTTTATTATAAATTAAAAAATAACTGTAAAAGGTATAAAAATGTGTCCTAGAAAACTATAAAAAATATTTCTATAACAGATAATAAATAGAAAAATAATTGTAAATGTTATAAAACTATATAAAAATTTCTATTCACCAAATTAATTGTTGGACCGATTTTTGAACTAATTTCATGTGAATCCATTAGACCGCTAAACGCAGGGATTTATTTTAAAGTAATTTATAAGTGACAAAAATTCGCTATTCGAATACATATCATTCGCAAAGTCTAGTGCAGAACTAGGTTCTTCTAATATAGAGACTATATCTCCATTCCCGAGAATCTATAATCATTATCAGAAAATATGTTGTTTTATATTTTTTTTTGAAACGGTTGTATGTTTCCGAATTGCTAGAGACAATACATACTAATTTCATTCTCGACTTAAGACCTATTTCCGAACAATAGTGTATTGCTTTATTTATAATAAAGAATTATACTTTTTTGACGATGTTGTACCTTTGAAGGACCATCGTAAAGCTATTCCGACGATACAGGGAGGCACAAAAAGTACATTTTTATTCCGAATAGAACATACTATTTTTTTAAACATTACCAATAATTTTTTAATCAATTTCAAACATTGCAAATAATATAAACAGTAATCGAGCAACAATTTGTACACTCGTTGAATTTGACACTTAATATCAATTTAATAATATATTTTTGTACTTTTGTGCTTAGGCGTAACGGCGTAACAGTTCTTTACTTTTATGCCTAGTCGCTAAAATGACAAAAATTAATACTTTTGAAACGTTTGAAAAAAAATTCTTTTGGCCTGAAGCGAACGACTTTTTTAGCGGAATATATTGGTGACCGATGTAGAAAAATCGGAAACGCCCCGTAGAATTGTTAATGTTATCGGTATCGGGGTATACATTTAGCCATTTAGGCTAGGACTTTAATTGGAAATAAGTCCTAGTCATTTGGAAATCCGATTTAAATATTATTTTGAATTAAAATAAAAAAAATCAGATTTAAATTAAAAATCGGATTTTTTTGATTTTAAAAAAAAAATCATGATTTTTTCCAACCCTGCTATTTACCTTTTGAATGAGGTTTAGGGTGCCTATGTTTTGCTAAGCGCTTTAATATTTTACTTTCACAAAAAAAATCAAGAAAAAATACGGGAAAATGAAAACTAAATTGTTATTTCTTTGCTCAATCTGTGATGATTTTATTCGATCACACTGTATACCTATTATAACATGACAAAAATTTTATAAAATATTTTAAGATTAAAAACCTTGGATTAACATAAATTGATCCTAGATAAGTGGGAAGGTGTGTGAGATAAGTCATGTAGGTAAGGAGTACATAGAAAGTGATATAAAAAATCACATGCTAATCTAACGGCATTGACCTTCTATTTCGGCAGTCCCAAAATAAAAATGAGGCTTTATCAGCTGTTTGGCTGTGCAAACGTAATGATATAATTAGACTTTAACACGGATAACATATAGTTATTTATAAATTATATTATATATTAAAGTTTCCGTTATGAAATTCAACGCAACAGTAATTAAATTTTATTTTTCTATGTTAAAGAATGGTTTGAATAGGTATCTGCAAAATTTCCTCGCTACGACCTCTGTGTGCTAGCTCATAAATTATAGCAAATAACTATTATTTTTGCATCATGTTTACAACAATTTGAACCCCGACCACCCGGCTGTTAAAATTAAAAAGCTAGTGGCCTCTATGCAACTCATCCCGATTAAGTAAACTTGTGTTTTATTGAACTTCGAATTAGAACAGGACGCGGCAAAGTTTGGCGTAGAATTTTGAACATCCTGTATGATTTAAGATTACGATATTTATAGCAATGTTAAGGACAGACCATCTAAAGTAAATACCTAATATATTTTTGATATCTGGACTGTTGTTGCATTTTTAATATTTTTTTTTTTTAAGTTTGAAAAATATATATTTTTTATTTATTTATTAATATCTCTGAAACCATTGAAACATATTTCCCCATATCTTAGGGTTATGTAAAGTGATCTTAAATGAAGCGAAAAATGCAATAATATACAGGGTGTTCCGTTTAAAAAAAATCAGCCCGGTCCACTCACTCTTTTTTGAGCCACCCTGTAGAAGTTAAAATATTTTCCTAATTTTTCTTCTATTTCCAGAAATAGCAGTAGTAATCAACGACCAAATCGAGCTCCTCCAATCCAACGGCATGCTGATCGGGTCCACCATGCAACAGTTCACCAAGCTGAAGGCGCTGACCTTCGACAACGTCCGTCACCAGTTCGTGGTCAGCGACATGGACCATGACAACGACACCATCTTCACGGTCCAGCTGACCAAGGAGACCGAAATCACGCCCATAGTGCCCGATCTACCGGACGATGTCCAGGTAAGAGCAGCGGTTTAAATGTTAATAAGATTAAGAGTCCGAAAAAGCAGCAAAATAAACGTTCGGTATTTAACGTTTTACGTAAAACTGACTAGGTATTTTTACACAAATGAAGAAGGAAATTAAAGATAAAGGATTATACTATATCCGTATTGTAGGATATTTTAGACAACTTCTTTCTTTTAAGATTTTGATGGTCAAACATCAACAAAATATTCCTTATGTTTGGACTAAATTTTCTCGAAAATAAAGACATAATTCAAAATTCCGTTACAATACGGAAATAGAATGAAGATGGTCTTTATTCATTTTGCTTACACAACGTTTCGATCAGAAGTATCACTGACCATTATCAAGTGTGTTCGGTGAATTTGTTAGGTGCAGTCAAGCCACCTTAGCCATTATCACCTTAAGAGGTGAAACAATAAAGTCGGGCATTGCAGATCATGTGTGGTCCAAGCACCACAACATAAAATGGTCGGAAGCCCTGGTTGTCCACAAAGAACCCCATTGGAAAAAGCGCAAGTTTAAAGAGGCCGTATTAATTTCTAATAATAGCAAAATCTTTAGCAATCGAAGTATGGAAATTTAAACAATATGGCAACAACACCTCATGCTTGACTGAACCCAACAAAATTACGGGTGAAAGCTCGGCTCTAGTATATAAGCTCAGTAGTTTTAGGATTTAGTTTAGTTCACACTTGATAACGGTCAGTGATATTTCTGACCGAAACGTTGTGTAAGAAAAATAAATAAAGACAATGGAAGTCCGAAAATCCTTTAGTTTTAATAATATTGTCATTCTCAGGTTCACTTAAGTCGTTGTTTATTGTTTTTTTTCCAATGCTTTTTTCATATCTTTACTTTGTCTCTGGCACCAATACACCTGTATACTCTTCATCATTATTAAGCAATGATTTTCGTTTGTTTCAGGGTTTGGCAATTGATCCCATCGAGGATATTCTGTACTGGACCGACTCGGTAAATAATACAATTAATTATATTAAACTAAACGACTCGGATTCTGAACCACAGCTACTTTTCGCTTTCAGTAATGTCATTCCGCAAGACGTCGTTATAGACGTGTGTCGCAGGTAAGTCTATACAATCATTACATGATAAAGTCTGTCCAATGAATCGTCAAGATTTCGACATACGACATCCAAAAAATTACAGAAAGTTAAATTTATGTACTTGTGAATGAAAATGACTGTCAAGTCCCTTCATTGGACCGATTTTATTAGAAAAATATAAGTACCTTTAGAATTCATAACTTTTTTGGTATAATACATATCGTAGAGATGATATTGTTTCGAGAATTCCCTGAGCTTTTAATTAAACACACTAACGTATTTACTATAAACAACCAGAACTATAATTTTCTATTTAAAGTACACCAGAAGTACACACTAAATTATCACAATTAACGACAAACTACTAAAAAATTACCAGTTCCTTTTAACAGATGCGTCTTTTCACTTTATAATTAGCAACTGACTCACTTGTTCCAGTTTCGACGCTTTTTATAAAAAAGTTATGCTTCTAGAGCATTAATTTCGACTTCTAGGCTCTGGACATTCCGCGATTATTTGTCTATTCTAGTTTATGCCTATGCTTCGATCGGCATGGGCAATGGCATTGTTGCCAAACGGTGGTAATACTCCTTCCTATGATTTTCGATAACTTTTAAAAACTACAAATCTTTTTTTATTTTGATTTTGTTACTAAATCCAAAGCTGTTTTTACAAACTTGACAGCGTCTCTATTATTCACTACAGTATAAAGATTTGAAAAGTGATTAAAAATAAAAATAAGCGCAGAAAGCTCTGTAATAAATAAAGTAACCAGATTTTGAGTCAACCATTAGCCCCCATACACCGGCGGATTAGTTGGCCGACTTGATCGGCGGATTTAGGCCCGTATTTATAGTCGAGTCTCAAAAGCGACTCCAGTCACGAGATTCAAAAGACCGACAAAAATAACAGGCTTACTAACAGGTTTACGTTTCGTCTAACGTTACGTTACGTATACACGAGCCTAGTAAGCCTGTTATTTTTGTCTTTTCAGAGACACAGTTCGAAATGCGACTATAAATACGAGCCTAAGTAAGCTAAGATTTAGTAATCACCAGGCAAACACAATGTGCACACCAAAATGTATTTATATCCTTGAAAACTTCAATTACCTTGTTTCTAAATATTCTAAATTTTATTTAATTAACCTAAATCCCAAGAAAATTAACCTTACTCTGGACATTATTTATATTAAGGTGCGTCCAGACCTGACGAGAGCGAGACAAGAGCAAGACGAGAGCGAGATATCCTCTATCCATTTTTTGAGGCAAGCCTGCCACGAGACAAGCGAGTTGGATCATAGTAAAAGGAACCCAAACACATATTAAATAATTGTAATTGAATATAACAAACGATGTCCAAATAATAACGCAGATAGTAATAGATTTTTGTATTTTTAACATGGTATTTGGTTCGTCGTATTTTTTTCATAGTCGGGTTTTCCCCTTTTGGCTGTTTTCCCCTTTAGCCCTTCATTTGTTTTGAGACACAGCGTCTTTTACATAATTGGTTTTTTAACGTTTTGAGAACAAAAAGTTAAATAGAAAAGTTATTGGGAGTGTTAAGAAGTACATTACTGTAGAATATACAGGGTAGTTCAAAAAAAGTGTTGCGGATATAACATATATTTTTTAATGGGTATACCCTATTTTTTATATCAGAAAAAATGATAATACATACGGGGTACCATTTAAAAAATTTGAGATTACTTAATTTTAAATAGTCGAAATTCATAAATTAGGCCGTCGCAAAACCGACAGAGAACGGATTGCAACGAGGCTCCGTGGGAGGCTCTCGCGAGACCCGTCCACACTTAGCAAATTTGGAATGTCTCGCGCTCGTCTCGTCAGGTCTGGACGCACCTTTATACCTACTGCGTATTTAGTCATTATTTTTAAGTGTTACTGTTTGAGACCAAAATTGTTGGTTTCTACTATATCTGCAAATATCGTGAGATAATTCGTACAGAACGAACAAAAACAATTAAATTTTGCATCTATCTTTGTTGCATGTTTTTTTGCCCTCCTGTTTTTTATAACATATCCACTGTGGATACAGCTATTTAATCTCTTCTGATCATAATATCTTTAGAAAAAAATTGCTATTTTCAGGTACATCTACTGGACCAACTGTTACGTCAACGAACCCACCATAGAACGTTCCTTCCTCAACGGTTCCAACAGGGAGGTTGTGGTCAGTTCCGATCTAAAGTCGCCGGCGGGTATAGCCATAGATTACAAACGTCAGCGTTTGTATTGGGCCGATATGCGCGAGGGGATCTACTACAGGATCGACAGTTCAAACTTGAACGGGGGCGATAGGGAGATAGTGTACGAGGGGAGTCATAACAAACCATTCGGGATTGCCGTGGATGAGACGTCTATATACTGGACGGATATCAATAATAACGCGTTATGGAGGTAAACATTTATATTTATATTTAAGAACCAAAATTATATTTTATACAAACTAAAAACTAAAATAATACATCAAACAGCTACGACTTCCAGTCAATATGTCACTAGATGATACCTAAATATAATAATACACTTTAATAGTTTAGAATTTCCTGTTAAAAGATCTCGCATATACAGTGTTGTTCACCAAATACGACACGGAGTATTGTAGCTAAACGATTAGATTTTTACAAATTGTAAGTTTTGGCTTCGTCGAAGGACTATTAGAGCTACAATTTAAAAATATTTTTACAAGATACTGAGTGTCCCAAATAAGTAAAAAACATTATAGTTGTATTTTTTCAACGGAACACCCTGTATGTTATTCTATTTTTAGATTCTACGATTGAAATAGAGCTAAATTTGGTTAAGGTTTATCACACTTAAACCTTACCGATTTTGAAATATTTTCAATTTTGTAAAATTGCAGTAAAAATTTTAAGGTTTCATTTCTCCAAGGGTGTCAAAGTTTTTAATACTAAATATTTACTGAAGTTTATTTATTGATCAGTTATTGTGTTGCAATAATAAAAGTAATACTACCTCATACAGAGTGTCTAAAAATTTATATTAAATAATTATTAGTTTTAAATGGCCAATAACTTGTTTAATTTAAACATCCTGTATATTTTACGGGAATCAGATGCACAATTTAATTAGTGTCTATCAAATTGTATTATACGATTTTTTACTTATCTCTTCAAGTTTTCGTAGAAAATGCATTTTCTTATAATTTAGACCTCATTTATCACTATACCCATGGAATATTGACATTTTAGATTATTTTTGAAGATGTAACAAATTTTCAAAGAGCACAGATACTAATATTGTCGATATAGTTCGCTTATTTCATTAAAAAGTAAAAAAAAACTGTTTAAATATGTTTTGTTAAAGAAGACCAATTAAGATGATCCCAGTATTCAAACTACATTAATTGACTGTTTACGTTGATTAATAATAATTGCTCCAAATACTAAAAAATGAATTTTGTACGTGTATTAGACAGTGTGGTAAAAAGTAACACCTTGTAAATTTTATTTCATTTTTTGACGAATGCTTATTTATAACAACAGAGACGTTCATTTTGTATAATTATTCTTATTATTATAATGATTTCTGAGTCATATCCACATTTATTTATTAATGAGGTCTAAATTATAAGGAAGTACATTTTCTACGACAACTTGAAGAGATAGGTAAAAAATGGTATAATACAATTTGATTTTGAGACAATTAAACAGGGTGTTCCCTTTAAATTATACAAGTTATTGTATATTGTTGCATGTTTTTTTGCCCTTTAAAGCTAGTAATTATTTAATATAAATTTTTGAACTCTGTATAAGGTAGTATATTTTTTATTACTGCAACACAATATCTGATCAATAAATATTTAGTATTAAAGACTTTGATACCCTTAGAGAAATGAAGCCTTATATTTTTTACTGCAATTTCACAAAATTGAAAATATTTAAAAAACGGTAAGGTTTAAGTGTAATAAACCTTAATCAAATTTACCTTTATTTCAGTCGTAGAATCTAAAAACAGAATAATATACAGGGTGTTCCGTTTAAAAAAATACAACTATAATATTTTTACTTATTTGGGACACTCTGTATCTTGTAAAATTATTTTTAAATTGTCAACGAACCCAAAACTTAAAATTTCTAAAAATCTAATCGTTTAGCCACATTACTCCGTGTGGTATGTGGTGAACAACCCTGTATAATATAAAAATATCCTTTTGAATTTTAAGGTACTACAAGAGCGACCGTGGCTCGCCACCGCAAAAAATCCGAGAATTCAAAGAGCGACCTCTAGGCTTAGTCGCCAAAAATGTCCAGATTCGGAACTATCCAGACTGCAAAGAATTAGAAGTAGCCATCGAAAAATACGGTGACAGAGAAGAGTCATTCGACAGTTACAAAGAAGCTGCTATTGATTCCACGGAGGTCACCGAGTGTCTCAATGGTGGTGAACAAATCAACAATTATTGTAAGTGTAGAAGAGGATACACTGGGCGAAACTGTGAAATTGATAACTGCCATAACTTCTGCATACACGGTACATGTCACTTGTCAACGCAAGGTTACCCCATGTGTTACTGTCCAAAGGGATTTGGCGGTACGCGCTGCGAATTGGATATGTGTAAAAGTTTCTGTTTGAACGATGGCGAATGTAGTTACTCCAAGTAAGTATACAATAATTATTTACCGCTAAATATGTACAGTGTACAGGGTGGCTCGAATTCGACGCTCATCATTGGGATTTCGGAAACCGTAAGAGATACAGGATCGGTTAATGGAGGCAAAGTTGCGCAATTTGATGCTCAATAAAATGCCGTATTGCATTTTGAAAAATTCTGAATACTTCCGAATATATTCGAAAAAAAACGGAATTTTCAATTTTGTTTTCTATTGTTTCCTGGCTTTATTTGTTAAGATAACTTAAAAATGAAAAACACATTTTCATGGCCGCTTTTTCTGCTCTATAACTCTGTGTGATTTAATATTGACTCTGACGTTTCGGCTTCTGGCGACCATCATTAACCTAATTTTTTTAAATACGGACCTGATTTTTTTTTCAATTTAATTAAATCCTTTCATCACTCTTAAAACACTATATATAGGCACTTTGATATTTGCCGACCTTTACGTTTATTATCTCTTACGGTTTCCGAAATCCCAATGATGAGCATCGAATTCGAGCCACCCTGTACAGGGTTGGCCAAATTGGACACTTTTAAAGGGAAGCACCCATTTCTGTAGAAGATAGACGAAAACTAATATCGGTGTCTGGAGCTCAATTTTTATCAAAAACATAATGGTGAAAACCGCACGTCGATATCTGTTACCGTTTCGGAGTTACGGGGTGTTTTTCAAAAATGTGCATTTTTAACAAATCGCTGTAACTTTTTTGCTGTGAAAAATTTTGCATTTTTGTGAAAACATTCCCAAAGCACCTTTTTACGTGGAATTTATTGGTTTAAGTATATATTTTTTTTTAATTAATAATTTAAGAATAATTATCAACAGAAAGTTTGATTTTTTATATGGAACACTCTGTATATTTTTAATTTATTGAAAAGAACTTAAAATTACCTTTCCAAAAATATAGTATACTTGATAATATTTTGCTCGACTTCTCTTCGATATATAGAGTTTTTTAAAAATTCGCCCACTTTGAATAAGTAGGCTTTGAACGGCGCTGGCTGTAATGCAAAAAAATTCTAGCTGTGAGCAGCAACTAAAACGAATATATTATTTGCAATGAGAGATGCAGAATTTTATAACAATTTAAACTATATTTAACAACATCAACACATTTAAATTATATCTAATAACAATAAAAATAAATAGCAAACCAAGACATGAGATTTTGCTACAGGTGTTCGACATATCGACCGTGTTCTGTTATGGACAGACGGGGCAGTTTTTGAACATTTCTCGCGGAATTCATTAACTCAGTGGGGGGTGAAAGATACCCTCGCATAACCGTTAAGTACTTCTAATTCTTGTCTAGATTATACGGGTAATTTAAAAATAAGAATCTTTATTCTTCTGCAAAGATAAAAATTCATAAGGGCAAAGTCCGGCGGACTCGACGGCCAACGGCTGGGATCTTGGTTAGCCATTCAATTATTATTCTCGAAATTCGCTGCAAAAATTTGCTGATAACTTCAACGTTCTGAAGCGGTGCCTCGTCTTGCTGGAAAAATATGTTTTCGAGTTCCATTAGGGACAGACAATCAATAAGGGGTCCAAAGCCTACTAGTTAAAAGTGGCTAACTTTTAAAAATTCTGTATTTCGAAGGGGACTATAACAAAATATCAAGTGTGCTATATTTTTGGAACGGTAATTTTAAGTTAAATAAAAATATACAGGGTGTCCCTAATAAAAAATCAATTTTTCTGTTGATAACTCTTAAATTATTAATTTAAAAAAATATATATATTTGAGCCATTAAATTCTACGTAAAAAGGTGCTTTGAAAATGTTTTCATAAAAATACAAAATTTTCCATAGCAAAAAAGTTAAGCGATTTGTTAAAAATGCACATTTTCGAAAAACACCCCGTAACTCTGAAACGGTAACAGATATCGATGTGCGGTTTTCACCATTACGTTTTTGATAAAAATTGAGCTCCAGACACTGATATTAGTTTTCGTCTATCTCTTATGGAGAAGGGTGTTTCCCTTTAAAAGCGTCCAATTTGACCCACCCTGTAGATATTTTGTTTTCATTATGTTAATATACAATAATGGCGTTTTTTAGGGGTGACTTGATACCAAGCTGTCGATGTTCCGAACATTATACCGGGAGTAGGTGTGAAATTAGTACAGAATTTAGCAACTTATGCTTGATGTACTGTAGGGAGAACACTAGCGAAAATGATTATTTAATTTCGAAAAATCGGGACTTAATATGCAGGTAAGAAACTTTCGAAAATGTTCCAAATTAAGATCAAATGAATTGAAACATATTGTACCTCCGCCTTTATACAGGGTGGTCCGAACTGTATTCGGGAAAATTCAGCAGCATATTCTCCAGATAAAAATAAGTAATAAAGTTTGTATAAATGTATGTCCTAAATTGCTTAGTTTCGGAGATACAGGGTGTAGAAGCTTCATTTTTATTTCTATTTTTTCAAATAATTTCTGAAGTAACGTCAATATTTGGATGAAAATTGGTGTCTGGGTGTTTTTTACATGAGAAATTTGATTTTGATATCAGTATGACTGCTATTTGTAGGAATCGCCACCTACATGTGTTTTAACTTTTTGAAGAGTAATAACTTTTCGTCCGTACCTGTATAAAAGTACTGAGTACAAAAATATACATTTCCGTGATTTTTTACGTAAAAAAATGTCTCTTGGTAAAAATCACTACGAGCAGCCGTTTTTAAGATATTTAGAATGGAAATAGTCAATACATGTCATTATTGACAAAAAATAAACATGTTGAGTAGATAGTTATTTGACTGAAATTATAAATTTGGGAACTTTTTATTTTTTTTTTAATTTATCATAAATTTTACTTTGAAAAAATTATGATAAAACAGTTTCTGCTGAACTTTTGACACAAAATGATTTCAAATTTATGATTTCAGTCTAATAACTATTTAGTCAACATGTTTAATTTATGTCAATGATGACAGGTATTGATAATTTTGATTCCAAATATCTCGAGAACCATTACTCGTAGCGATTTTTACCAAGAGGCCATTTTTACATAAAAAACGTCGTAAAGGTATCTTTTTTTTACTCAGTAGTTTTATACAGGTACGGAGAAAAAGTTGTTACTCTTCAAAACAGTTAAAAAATAAGTAGGTGGCGCCCTCTACAAGGAGGAGTCATATTGACATCAAAATCAAATTTTTCATGTCAAAAAACTCCCAGATACCAATTTTCATCCAAATATTGACGTTGCCTCAGAAATTATTTGGAAAAAATCAAAATAAAAATGAAATTTCTACGCCCTCTATCTCCAAAATTAAGCATTTTAGGACATATATTTATACAAACTTTTTTACTTATTTTTATCTGCAGAATATGCTGCTGAAATTTCCGGAATACAGTTCGGACCACCCTGTATAACTTATTCATATTCAGTGTTTCTCATATTTAATGTTTATCGCAGGTGTACAAATCAAGATTACGTCATCTCCAAGAACAACCTAACGGCCTCTGCTCTTCTCTCCAAATCCAACGAACCTCCTGAGGCCAACTTCATCACCAAATTAGTTTCGGACAGCGACTACAGCGTGCTGGCCGCGCTGCTGTTGATGTCCGTGCTGGTCATCATCTTCCTGACGGGTTACATCCTGGCTCGGCGCAGGCGCAGGAAGGACCCTGCCCCGTCCAGGCGCATCATCGTCCGGCCCAACGTAACGCCTCTGACTTACAGGCCACAGCCAACAAATGATCACTGCGAGATTACCATCGAGAATTGCTGTAACATGAACGTCTGCGAAACGGTAGGTAATTCAACTCAAGCTTCATAAATTGGCTCTTTCACTATATTTTGGAATTCGCATAATTAAATAAAGCAATTAATTCTAGAATTTTCTGCTATCTCACTTTCGAAAAACTTGAAGTCGTTCTTAGGAAAATAAATAAAAACAAAAAAGCCCAGAATAAAAAACCGCACTTTATTTTTAATACGTCACACCTGGCATGTTGAAAAGCGGCAACACCGCCGGGCCACCATGCTGACCCATTTAAAATTTAACCATTTCGGCGTCAACTTTAGGAAGGTTATCAGATGACGCCTTTTCGAATCCAGGTTCTGGTACGACCATGATGGAACAAATTATCAAAAAATAACAATTTAAAACTTAAAATTTGATTACAAGCTTTCACAAACGGTGTAAACAAAAAATTTAACCTCAAATTTATTATTCAACGTGCACGTCAAATCAAATCGCAATGTTGCCAGTTGTTGGCTGGCGTACGAGCACGGTTCTGTAATGTGATTGGGCGTATTTAATATTATTATTATTAAAGCAATTTTGAGGGCCTATAAAAAAATTATGCAGTGTCATGGAACTACTTTTTTTAGATAAATATACTGAAAATAGTCTTATGTTTCAGATTTTGTCCTTGAATTGGTTATTTTATTTTTTGTGAAAGAGCCTCGGAAAGAGCCCATTGAATAGGTTGTCTCACTCTTGTCCTTAACTCACTCTGTGGTTGTGACGTTACCCGGCGACCCGCTACCGCAAGCGCTCTCTCTTCTATGCCTTTAAAGCCATATAGCTCTGTTATTTTCTAGTTCATATTTAAAATATTTGTTAATTTTGTTGTACCTTAATTAAACATTATACAGGGTGTTTGAAACAACATGTGCCATCTTTCCTGGGGAGATTCTTCACGTAAAAATAAAATTTATTGTTCATATCAACATATGTCCGATTCTGCTTTGTTTCGTAGCTACAGGGTGTTAAAATCTTAATATTTTTTCGGTTTATTATTATTTTCTTCCAAGTACTTTTAGCGTTTTGAATGAAATTTTGAGGGTAAAAGTTACTATAAATGCGACATACATATTTTAAATATAAAAAAATGTCGACATATTCACCAGGCACGTGCATATGGGTTATCACTGGAATATTTTTCTAAAAAGCATGTACACCACTGACTTGTGTGAATTTATCGACACTTTTTAGCATTAAAATATGTAGCACTTATAGTAAATTTTACCCTCAAAATTTCATTCAAATCACTAAAACTAATTGGAAGAAAATTATATTAAATCAAAAAATTATTAAGACTTTAACACCCTGTAGCTAAGAAACAAAGCAGAATCGGACCTATGATGATATGAAAAATAAATCTTATTTTTATGTACGTGAGGAATCTCCCCACGAGAGATGGCACATGTTTTTTGAAACACCCTGTATATGCACGAATCTTACCAACTCTATCTTATTTCAGCCATGCTACGAGCCTTCCAGTCTGAGGAACAAGAACAAGGAAGACCAAAAGACGCTCCTTACCAATATGGAAAATGGCGAGGACGCGTACTAAACAAACATCCTCTTCGGTGAAGAGTAGGCTGTGAAATTTAAAGTATTACCCGATCGTCGTTCATTTTTTACAGGGTATATGAGCGTGCGCAGTGGGCCAGGACATTTGTTAAGTTTTCTTTTACTGATAGATACTACTAAAAACCAAATAAAATAGGCAGCTGATAAAAAAGTTATATATTCAAAGGCGAATCTGCCGGTAAATGCCAAATATGCCAACATTCCCTATGGAATTTTTACGTTTTTGAAATTGTTCAAATTTCAAAGTGGTTCAAATTCCTTCCAATTGAGTGAAATTGACGTCATAGCAAGCGTATAGAAGTATAATTTCAGTGTGAGCTTTACTATGTATTACTAAAATTCTTGACAGCGATAGCTACAATTAGATTATTTGGTGTTTTTTTCTTAAAACTCAAAACTGGGACATATAAATTTAAATATGTAATTATTAAACTACTTAATTTTTATTCATTATTTTCCATTTTCATGTTGTAGTTTTAATGTTTAACACTAAATAAAATTTAAATCATCTGTCTAGAATATGGTACATAGTAATTCAGCAGGCAAATATGTATATCTACGCGTACTGTGACGTACTTGTTTTGTCATTGAACTAAAAGTTTTCAACTTTAAATGACTTATTCTCAATATATTGTGTTTTCTTTGGTAACTTTTATTATGTCTATAAACACCGTATGATTGAAAAAAACGGCGTCAAGTTGGCTTCAAGATGACCATCGATGACATTTACATATAACTTTACATATAAAATGACAGCGATCTTCATTTCTGCGCCAACTCCGACGCCGTTTATTTTGCGATCGTATGGTCCTTCAAAAAACCTTTTAATGTCTCTCAAAAAAATATTAAGAATGGCATCTGTCATTGCTAAAATTGCTTAATTATTTTTTATGTATTTCAAAGATAACAAGATTTTTTTCTATTGAATCAATAGATGTTCATCAAAATGGATGCGTGTTATTATATCTTTCATTTTTGAAATGTTTATTTTTAGCAAATTTTTATGCAATAAGATTCAACGGAAAATGTTTTGTCAAGTTTAAAATGTTATATTTTTTTTATTTTTTTTTCTGATCGAAAAATAATGTTTTAGGAAACAACTCCTCAATTAACCCTGTATAATAAGCCAAATACTAAAGTTTATAAAAAACAGAGTTTATGAATTAAAGTTAATACATTTATATGCAGTTTAAATAATAATATACTAAAAAATTCATGAAAATAGGGCTAAAAGTAAAAAAATATAACATATTAAACCTGACGAAAAAATTTTCCGTTGCGTTTTTTTTGTATCTTAGTGTAGGTAGATGTTTGAACCACTTTAAAATTTTTTGATTCTTTTATTCGTGGACCATCTTAAATGGTTCCTTATTGAACCCCATGAGACTTAAATAAAAAGGGGTACACACTACTTAAGCTCTTATTTATTTTAATTTCAAAGTTTTAATTCAATAACTTAAAACGATTTTCTTTTCATACAAAAGGAAATTATATATTTTATATAAATATAACCAGTTTTATGGTTAAACAGATATCCTATAAATTGCCAGCATCATGTACAATAAATTTTACCTTCAAATGATCTTCTTTTCTACTATTTGTGATTAAGTGTGCTTAAAATAACTTAATACTTAATTCTCTTACTTATTTGTTACTATTTATAGAAGGAAGTACTTATAGCTAACCTTATAAGTTAGTAGAAACTACTAACGTACAAATTATAAAAGACATTTTGTTTGATATTGTTAATTTATTACCTATTTAATTGATAATAAGCTGGTGTAGTTCTCGAACAATCTGCAATACTAAATGAATGAGAGGAAAAACATTAGTGAAATTTAGATTTTAGTTAGGCTAGAATAGTTATTTAAATTTGTGGCTTTTAATATCCACGTGAGAAATGTGATATTAGGAGACAATTTAAGAATTATTATGAATACTTTTGTAAATTGAATAATAAAATTGATCATAAAAAACTTGCATGTATTTTTATTTTGAATTTCCCGCTCTGACCTATGTGATTCCCATCCCATGGATTTATGGTGGATATACCAATAAAGATACAATATAAAAAAAAAGAAAGATCTACATGTTGCCGATATGCTACAAGTATTTTTAGAATAAGAGTTTCAAAGATGGTGATATTAGACATTAAACAACCCTGAATGGGTAAAATAATTAATAAAGTTAATAAAACTATTGACAGCTTTAAATCATTTTTAATTTTCGTGTTGCGCGCTCATCTTGTCTAATCGCACGACCACGTGACCTTTCTTAACCAATAAGATTTGCAGAAAAGTGATCCGAATCAATCCGACTTACTCCAAACGCTTGAAACGAACAGGACGTTTAGACGCCTTTTTTGACCTTTCACGTCGACCATTTCCTTTCAATTTGGCAGCATTTGTTGGAAGCCCTGATTTCTAGCGGAAAATAAATGTCCCCTAGATTATTTGACAACATTTAAAAGGTAATTTTTTAATTCGTATGTGTTGTTTTATTTGAAGGTAATTTTAAAGATTTTTCTAAAAGAAGTTGGACCACGTTTTAAATGGTTAGAACTGAAATGTGACAACGTCATTTTCCTAGTTTATTTTTTATAATTTAGAGACATTCTTTATATTTTCTTATTCGTACGAAATAAGGCAATAAGAGACTCTGTACTATATTAAAAATGGTAGTAAAACTTCTAAACTACAAGTTGAGAAGAAAATATGTGCAGTGCCACGAAATCTTAACACCTTGATAAACAAATATTTCCTTGAATTTAAGTGAATTATGACTTCGAACACGAATGTTTGTCTGATCTGCAATGCCAGTTGTTTGTCAAGCAGAAATACTATCAAAATCTTCGATAAAGATGTAAGTAGACAAATTGTTCCTGGTTTGAAAGGGTGTACAATTCTGAAATATATTTTCTAGTCTGCTGTAATTAGTGAAATAAGCATCCCAGTAACTATAGGACGTATCCTGAAAAGAGATGTAAGGAAAGACAATGTTCATTCTGAGATATTATGCAAGAAGTGCTTCAAATTAGTCGATGAGTATGAAGAAATACAAAATCGGATGGGTGAAATATCGAAAGAAATTTCAGATAACTACAAAGCCAATATCGAGTCTAGACAAATAGAGACAGACCATATGCAAGAAAGCAGCAATAGGGAAAACAATGAATTACCAAAGAAAATTCTAGATATCCCTTCAAGTGATGATGAATCTTCCCAGGTAAATATAGGTTTTCTAGTTTTATTCTTTTGCACTGTTCAGTTTCTTTATTTAAGGTAATAGAAAAGCCCCTAGAATCTCTAGAAGATATTAACATGGTTTTGGTTAAAATGCATGATACTCCGATGGAGGATGATGACGATATAGAAAATGGAAGTCAAAACTACCAACCAATCCACGTTAATTCAGATGGTGAAGAACAGGAACCTTCATCAGAAACAGGAGGTAATAATTAGTATTTATAAAATATTTGAAAAGAACAGAAAAATATAATTAAAAAATATTATTCCCAAAGCTTATTAAAAATTTACAAACTTTAGTTTTTGAGATATTTAAAGATATTTAAATATGCATGCTAAAATAGAAAAGACTGTCAACCCCCTGTACATTACTTTTCAGAATTAATTATTGTGCTGACTTTTAAGCCAGAGAAATAAACTTTACTAAAAATTTTGATTGCTTCGTTTAATGTATACAGGGATATTAAAAATTGCTGGTCTATTTTAAATATTTATCTTACATAAAAACTTCAATATTTTAAATGCAATACTTGCAATGTATTTTTTAAAATAAATCGAAGCATATTTAAATGCTCTTTCAAACTATATTAGCAATATTAGGCTTTCCTATACCAATCTAGCTCAGATTTTGAATAAAGAGTAATTTTCCAATAAAATGGCAACCAAGAGGGCTGGTGTCTTTATGGCAAGTTTCTAGCGACAATAGCTATTTTCAAAATTGAAATTAGTGGCTGACTTTATTTAAATTTATAGCAGTTTAATTTTTTTTAATTTGCCTACAATAGTTTAATAAATAATGTATTGAATAAGTATTTGTTATTTTATCAAGAAAAATGAAGTAGTTCTTAGATTTATTTTATGATGACTTGTAAATACATATATGGATTTTCTATAAAAGAGCCAGTTATGGCAAATTCATTTTCTTCGCTTCCAACGACACTAACGACAGGTTTCTGCCTAATAGGTTTTTTATAAACCACACTACTGCAGCTCTGCGAAATAGGACAAGTAGTTTTTCAAAGGAACGCTTATCAGGAAATTTCCTATTTGGATATCTTTGAGCATAAGCCCTTGAGGCCAAGAAGCAATTAGCTTGAGGCCAAAAACCTCACAAAATAAAATCACTAGTAACATATCCATTTGTTCCGCCAGCAGGTAATGCTTTATTTTTCTTGATAATAATAATAATAGCTCCCGTATATAGCGTTTAACGCCTTGGGAGTAGCAAGGTACAGCTTGTCATACTAGAGCCGTTCAGTATACAAGGAAGGTAATGTGGCTAGCACTACGCTTCAACCGCCTATTATTACCTCAGGATTGTGAATCCCAAGTACTCATTTAAGGCTGAGTCGACCTAGGTACCCAAACTATTTTTATTTTAATAAAAATAGTCGGCTGATGCAATGCCGGGTGTGGGAATCGAACCCACTACCTTGAGATTGGTAGACGAGAGCCTGTACCTCTACGCCACCGGGCACCTTTTTTTTTTTTTTTTTTTTTTTGATAAAATAATAAATACTTTTTAAACTATTTTTTAACTTAATTGAAAACTATTACTACGAATTTTGGCGTTCTGAATGCTTACATTGAAATTAGAGGAACAAATTGAAATCACTAATTTCGAGGTTCAATGTTCTGAATGAAGCTTAAAACTGTATTACTAACTTCATGCATTATTATCATATAAATATGGTTATATTTTTTTAGAAAAAATTACATTCATTAAAGTAGAACCCAATGTTAGCGATACTAGCTCAAACGATCAAACTCAGGTGTCTCACACTCCTGATACAAGCAAACCTAACATTTTAAAGCGACGTGCTTCGTCCAATGGCATTACTTATGGTGGTGACAGCATAGGAATGCAGTCTGTTAAACTTAAACCAACTGAAGAATTAGAGGCTCCAATTGTAAGCAGGGATGGCAAAGCATACACATGTCTTTTGTGTGTTGGTGATGAGGTAAGTGATTTTCTTAGGAGCAGACTTTCTATTATAATCGCAAAACATTTTCCGATGCACGTCATCAATCATATCGACATGACACTAAGGGTTCGAACTCACTGACGACCAGGTCGCAACGACCTGGCCGTCGCGTCGGTTGGCCGGATGTATTGCGTTTATAGCTGCGGCCAGATGAACGACCAGTTTCAACAGAGTTGTCAGATCTAACGATTTTTTGCTTTTTACCAATTAGAAAATATTGTTTCAGAAATGTTAAAATATACGAGTTAACTAAAAAGCGAAGCTGTTATTCATGAGCTTATTAAATGTTCTAATATTAAATAATGCATTTAACATATTCTTGGATTTTTCGTTAATAAATACTGGTGTGGTAAATGGAGTAAGTAAAATCTCCAACCCCGACTACACGATAACGTCGTTATTTCCATGTTTTTCAAATCCGCGATGCCTGCTATTCCATCAGTCGTTTCATAACAGAATATTCTACATCCTACGTCTATGTAATTTAATATGTGTAGAGTGAGATATGTAACTCGTGAGATTTTCAGCATTATATCAATAAACGACAAAAACAGTATTGTTCCTAAAGGTGCGTCCAGACTTGAGCTGAGCATTTTAGCCCAGACGAACCGAGCGCGCACGAACAAGCAGAACAAATAGGCCGAACAATAAGCATTGTGTACGCGCGAACGACAAAAACGGACATAATCTGTTTCTTTTTTCTACTGATATGGACTTCTACTGATGGCTCTTATCGACTTTAGAAGTAAGCATATTAGGGCCATCGTAAAAAAAGGTAGTCAGACACTGGCTCTAAATATAAGCAGGTAGAAAGTTTAGCTTCCAGTTATTTCAATGTTTACAATATAAATTCCTCTTTTTTATTGTTACTGAGATTCTACAACAGTAAATACTTCTATTTTTATAAATGTTTAAGTTACTTTTACTCTTAATTTTTTTAAAAATAATGTAGGTACTTAGTAGAAATATAGTCTAATGTTACCCTGTTTGAAAAACGTTAAGTTAAATATAATATTTAAAATACAGTAGTTGTCCTCCCTGTACATGACTACAATACAACTAAAAAAACTAATTTAACAAAAAAAACAAGTGGTTGTAGAAAAACTTTAAATATGTTTTTTTTATTTTTTAACATCGAAACTCGAAGGTATAATAACAGGTATCATACCAACCATAAATAGAGTATAAAAATATATATAATATATAATATAGTACTATATATAATATAGTAATAAAAAAAAAGAGACTAGATTTAAGTTTCCCTTTGATCCAGTCTGTATACTATTTCTTTGGATTTTCTGCACGTGTGCAAAAACTACACTAAAACACTATATCTTATAGAAAATAAAATATTGTGCGTTGAATTTGGGGGATTTCATCTGAAAAATTATTAACTTGGAAGAAAACCGGCAACAAGCGGCAGAAAATAATAATATTTTAGTGCAGTCTATCTATGTTGGTCACATTGCGCGGTTTTTAGCAAAGTTGTCCTTTATTATTTGACAATTATCCTATTATTAGGCAGTTTTTACAATTATCCTAGTGCATAGAAAATAACCTAACGGATAAGAAAGGAATCTACGTGTTAATTTTTTGACGCTACATAGTGGCGCCATCTAGTTGAGCAGCGCGTACTATTCATTAAATGGCGGGAATATAGCGCTAAAAGCAAAACTTATAAATTGAAATTTTATAATCTAAACATTAAATCTGCTATAGCAAAATGACCAAATTGAACTTATGCCGACAAGTACAAATTATTCTACTTTTGTTTCATTTATTTATAAATAAAAAAAAAATATTTTTTATATTTTTCGTATTTATATATATAAACGATAAAATAATTTGTAGATGTTAGCTCAGAAAATTGGTCATTTTAGCTTTAACAGATTTATTGCATAGACTTTTATTAACAAGTAGGGATTGTATTATTGATTAATCTTTTTTTTAATTATTTATGACAATTTGGCGAAGTAAAATAAAACACAAAAAATAAACACAATTAAATATTATATATATTACAAACACAATTATATATTATTTCATTTATTTTTTAAATGTTTCATACGTCTGTATGCCTCAAAACAATTCATTTCTAATATATTTTTGCTGTCAGGATTCAGCTTACCCATTAATATATTATTTAATTTTTTAACATAATTATATATGTATATTTTGACAAAATGGGAGAAAATAAAAGTTTCTATTTCCTCTCTGTGAGGGCACTCTTCAAAATTAAAATTTATTTTGCACCTTAAAACGGATATAATTCGGACTCGTATATTGGTTTTATCAATCGCAGAAGGTACGTAGCTTTGTAGCATTTCATAAATTTTAATAATATTTTTTATAAGGTCAACATTGGCATAAACTAATTTTTTTACAAATGGGTCGTATTCTTTAATAGATACAAGTTTGTGATGAAATTCATCAATATCTGCGTTGTTGTGTAACAAATTTAATTTACAAATGTCACAACCTGTTATTTTTTTAAATAAATGATTACATATAAATCCGCTGATGTAGCTTAATGTAGCCTTTTCAATTTGTGTTACATCTTGTAATGTAACTTCAGGTGGATGCCAGCGATCAGGTACTTGAATTTCCTGATTATCTTTATTGCTATGTAGCATTTCCCTTAATGTGGACAAACAATGTGACATATCGTCTTCACAATTTGCCGTTTGAGGGTGGTATCTAATGTTTTTGACAATCAAGGCTTTGTAAAAACTAGCAAAAGCAGCACATGTAGGATTTGTATTTCTAATACCATATTGTCTTATTTGACAAAAGAAATTTTCGAGCGGATCTTGGTTAAACATGCGTGGAGCAAATGCTTTGAAACCATGAACCATTAGAATTCTATTTATTTGTATAAATCCCCTGATAGTTTTTATCCAACCATTTAATACTGGTGGCTTGGATCTATCTGTTGGTTTTGATTTTATAAATTCCATGGTTTCTAAAACATTTACTGCACTTCTCCAAAACCTAACATGGGCTGATTTGTCGGACACAAAACCTCTTAATGGTTTTCCTGCACTTGACTGTCCAAAACTACCATTAGTGCTGTCAAACAGGTTATCAAAAAATATTAATAATTCGGCAGTATCTAATGCACTCGCATCCAACTCTGAAGCTCCATCGGCGGATTTTATTCCTGATATTGCACAGTATTTTATTGCAGATGCCACTGTTGCACTAAATATTTGTGCTGCAATAGAAACTTTCATTTTTCTCATTTTATCTTTGTAGATATGTTGATCTGTTATTTTTCTCATCACCCGTATATTATTAGATTTGTCTATATTGTAGGCTTTAATAATATGTGACCACGATCCTAACATTTTTTTATTATTTAGAGTAAATGATAAATTTTTGTTTAAAAAATTATTTCTTGTGCTTTTTACAAGATGCGGTGGATCAAAAAGTGGTAAAACTGGTCTATCCTTTATGTAAAGCACTGTATCATCCCAATTTTCATTATTGGATATTTTTTGCATTCTTGTCTCTTCACGAAGCAAACTTATAGCTTTTACATTATTAGGACCTTGGTCACATATTAAACCTACTAGAGTCAGACCAGCTGAGATTACTTTTTCTGTAATAATTTTAATATAAAAAACAATTTCAGCTGCTGGCATAGCAGATTTATTAAATATGTATGCTACAGGCTGTTTCCATTTACTGAAAACTCCCCGTAACATAAAAACTGTGACATGATCAGCCACATTTAGATTTTTGGTAAAGCCTACTACCATATCCAAGTTATAATTGTAATCTAAATGTGGCTGAAGAGACATTTCGTCAAAAATTAAATTACAATATTTATCTTTGTTTTTCATATTCTTGGACATATTTGTAATACTAGTAAAAATTGACTCTGAAATGCCCATTTGTATAGGAATTTTTGATAACAACTTATTTAAAGTCCTTGGTGTAGGTAATGAAAATCCGAGCCTATTTAAATTTTTGTAGGTTGTTGGTGATGACTTCCACAGCATCAACGAGTCTAACTTAGTATCTAAGTCAAACCTTTTTCCTTTAGCACTTTTTTCAATGTTTCTAAATTGATTCTGGAAAAATCTTCTTTGGAAAGAACTCATTTTCCTGAACAGCCTATTGCCATTAACATTGAAAATAAGTTTCTTTGCTTCTGATAAGCGCTGCTTAATGGAAGCATTGCGGCGTTTTAATCTGGAAGCTTCTTGTTTCCATTTCCTTGATTCTTTATATAATGCTAGTGTTTTAGGTGACATGTTCTTCTTTCTAGCAACCATAGTAATGCTCTTGTGAGCTGGAAAATAATTTATATTCATTAGAATTAAAGAATATTTTATAAAAGTAAAATACTAATATATGTCATTATGTCTCTGGATTGTCTTTACAAGAGGAAATTTTTTTTATTATTTTCAGAAAAATGCATTCTTCATAAAAAATTTTGCTTGTTCTTAAATGGTTAATCCCCTTTATACTTTTCCAAATTTCCATACCGTTTTAGAGAAAATTCCAAAAACATGGAAATATAGTTGAATTTCTTAAGTTAATTTAAGTCCTAGGAATCAAAACGTGTTTCTATGGTAATATAATTTCGTTTTCATTCTTTGATAGAATCATTGTATATGGATAGAATTTTAATTAACGTCGTAGTTTTTGCCACTTTAAAATGTTATAGAAGTACAAAATTTATTTAGTTCAATGCTATGGAAAGGATGATAATAGTTATCGGAAAATGTGATACTTTTACAAATGTTTAACAACAGCAAAAAAATGCCGTTAATCAAAATTAATAATAGCCATCCATCAATGAATGAAATCGAAAATACCTATATTACCATAGAAACGCCTTCTGATTTTTAGAAAAAAATTCAACTATATATTTTCATACCTTAATTTTCTCTAAAATGGCATGGACATTTGGAAAAATATAAATGGGATTAACCACTTTAAAAGAAGCAAAATTATTTTATAAAAAA